CTGTAGCCTGCATGCTGATAGCAAACGATTTGAATCTTATTTTATTATCCAGGAAGTATCAGCTGGCTAAGAAATAATTTCTTTTTGAGCAAAAGATTCAATTTGTTACTAATATTCGACAAAAAGCGATCAGTATGTGAAACCATTTCCATCTGCTTCGATACTTTATTCATTTCTGGCAAGGAAGGGATGCTTTTTGAGGAACCCGGCTGGCAGCGAGTCAAAATACTGGCAAATTTTCACATCATTGACGTATCCAAACTCTTTACCCTTTAATTAGTGATCACCCAAATAGATGATAGCCTGAGGGTGTCAGATCTGTGCTTTCGGTGGGTGATGCAAAAGGATTCAGCTCAGCCTCATATGTTTTTTTTTTTGTGAAGAATTACCGTACCGTGATGTGAGGGTGCTTTTTCGTGTTGGAAATTTATATTGCCTGATTGTGAAGAGCCTTGTCCTCCCTACTTAGCTGTTGTGCAAGAAGTCTGCTGTAACTAATTTCTTAGGTCCGAGCACCTCATAATGTACAACTTTTGTTGTTCCACCAAACAGAACTTTTTTTCCGCGAACGCCAGGTTTGGGTGATGGCCGCGAATGCTCAATTTTGCTTGTCTATGACTTCCTTATGTGTTATCAGAATATATCTATTTTTTATCCGAATCTAATGAAGTCATTAAACCCATGCGCCCTCGTTAAATCAAAAAGAGCCAACAGATGGCTATTTTTCTCTTTTGTTTTGTAGAAGATGCAGCAGCCATTTTGCTTACTTGTTCGTACTATTCGTGTTGCAGTCTAACCGCAAACGTGCAATAATCAAAAACTGCTTGCAAAGCTCGCAACTCATGCTGATGAAGCGCGAAGTTGCTTGCTGCACGAAACTTTCCCGAGCTCTTATCCCACTTCGTTTGGTCGCGCATCTTCTAGACTCTCCGGTAATGTCGTAAACTTTAATACAGAACTTATGAGATACATGGAAAGAACCGAAATTGTTTTTAGCCAACCAAATGATCATTGCTCAACAACGAGCATCCTGAAGTTATTTCTTTCCATAGTGTTTTGTTCATCCTTCATACGTTTTTAGTCAGTCATTTTTAATGGCGGTCAGTAATCCTTCTTTAAATCTAGCCAAGTGAAATTCATTATAATATGTTTGTTTCTCGGTATGTTTATTTTCGGAGCTGTTCCCGTCTGGAATCAGAGTGCTTATTACTCGTTTTTGTTAAGGAATTATGAGTACTAGCATGTGCGTTAACGCTTGCTGTCTTCCATTTTCTGATTATGTAGATATCCATCCATTATCATTTGTCAAGAAGCATCATCTGTTACAGGTACGAGAGTTGGTTCCGGAGTCTCAAGCGTATATGGATTTACTTGCTTTTGAGCAGAAATTAGATGCTACAATCACTCGTAAGAAACTCGACATCCAAGTTTGTTTTTTATGATTTTTGTCATGATATGTTCACGATCAACAAAATATTTTTTAAGGAAGCACTTAAAAGGCCGCAAAAGGTGAAGAAGAGACTTAGAATCTACATTTCCCATACTTTCATAGCGGGAAAGGAACCAGAGAAGGTCTGTCCAACATTACACGACACCTCCCAAATGTTTATTATACTTACTTTAAAATTTTTGTAGGAAGGAGAAGATGGCACTGTTCCGATGTGGGAGCTTCGTGTTGAAGGAAGACTGATTGAAGACCAGGTTGGTTCAAAAATGACTTCAACCCTACTGTTGTTGGTTTTCATATGATACACAATGGCCTTTTATCATTGTGTTGGTTCGGAGGAAGCATTTTTTTTCCTGAAAATTGGGGAATAGCTGGAGACAGAGTCACGCCCCTTTCTTTGGAGCACTTTTTCTCGAATTCAATTCAAGAAGGCAATAGTTTCAGATAATAATC